ATCAGCATTGTAACCCATCAGTGGACTCTCTCAGGTAAGACAGAGTCTTCTTGAATCCCTCAGTAGGCCAAGGGTGTGGACCTATCTGTAAGTAGATGTAGCCTCCTGGGACTCCTGGGCTGTCTAGCAGGGTGATGTGGCTCCTGCCTATTGCAGCTCACAGTATAGGGATAGAGAACAGGAGAGGCTCAGTGGTCATCCAAGGCATACTCCATGTCCTGGTCAGATATGGGTTCTCAGCACCCAGCCCTGAGCAGGTGCTCAGCAGACACATTGAGGTGGGTGAACAGAGCAATGGATGGCACGATGGGTGATGGATGGGTCAGCATGGCTGCGAAATGTATGTAATCAAATGGTCGCCTGGGTGGCTGGGCTGAGTCAATGGCCAAAGGAATGATGGATGAATCGAAGACTAGGTATGGGCAATGAATGGACGGACAGACAGGCAGATGGATGGATGGATGGATGGATGATGAATGAATGAAAACATAGGAAGTTAAACAACAGAATCAGAATGTGAAACTTTGCAACTGTATGGATCAACCCAAATCACTTCACTCAGTGCTTCTCAATGTCTTTTTCATGCCAGAAACTATAATAGGTACCGGGGATAGTGCCAGAAACAGGACACAGATCATGCCCTCATGGTGCCTGGAATGTAGTTGAGAAGTCAAAAGCTGTGCAAAACCTCAACAGAATACTTACAGCGTGATGATCCCTTGAAGGCACAGTAGAGTGACAAGTCAGGGGCACTTTCGTAGGAGTGTAAGGGAACAGCTTGATGAGGGTCGTTTCAGCTGAGACCTGAATGACCAGTGTGATGTGTGCAGACCCGGAGAGCGCATAACTGTACGCAAGGGCCCTGGGCAGGAGCAGCATTGGGCTTGCTCAGGAATTTTAAAAGGCCTGCTGTGTACTTCGAGCAGAATAAAGGAACTTGTGGCTTAAGATGATGGAAGGGAAGCAGGGCAGGGTCCTGCAGGTCCCGAAGAGCCTCGCTGGCCATGGTGTAGACTGTGGAATTTGTTCTGAGTGAGATGGGAACCAAGGGCAGCTCTCCAGCAGGCAAGTGCAGGGCCAGGTTAGGATTCCAAAGGACTGAGTTAGTCCCTATATGAGCTGTGCAGGTGGGCATAAGAGGGGAAGGAAGGGGCCAGAGGGTATCACAGCAGGCCAGGCGAGAGGCTGGAGAGGAGTAGCCAGAGACGGTAAGCCTGAGGAAACGTAGGGAGGACAGGATGGGGCTGAGTCAGGTCTCAGCTGGTGGCTGGACTTTGGCCTCAGCAACTGGAAGACATTGAGCCTTTAGCAGCAGTTCACATAGATTCTGGAAGAAGTACGGTGACCAGGAGCTGGACACATACCCGAGCTGGGGCCTGGAGGGTCATCACGTGGGCTCTGAGGTCAAAGACCTGGGTGTGCCCAAGTGTCCTCCACAGTCACTTATGTCTTCCAGCTCTCTGCATCCTCACCCGATGATAGGTTGTCCACCTCCTTGGAATGTTCTGGCGATTCACCACCATGCTTGATCAGCACAGCACATGTACAGGGTGAGGACCCCAGTGTCCACTAATGGGGTTGACCCCTTGTCCCACGTCCCAACAGGGCTCACCACCGAGGTTGCCAATACAGCTCCTCTTCTCAGATTCCACAGCCTTGGGGAATAGGGGGCCCTGCTGGTGCCAACACCCAGCAAGATCACAGGGCACCTTTGGCAAGAGTGGGAGGGAGTAGACCTTATCTGCATGGCCTCCAGCAAGGGGCCCAGTTCACAGCAAGTTTCCCAAAGCAGCTCTAATTGGCAGAGAACAGTTCAAGGGCCCCTCTCTGCTCCTCTGGGAGCTGTAATTAGTAGCTGAAGTCCTGAACAGCAAGGTCGGCTGAGGCCCAGCTCGGGTGGTAGATCTCTCTGAGAGGTGGCCTGGAGGGGTAGCTTTCCTCCCTCATAGAATACTTGACATCCACAGTTGAGAGGGAAAAAGGTTTCTTTTGTCTCCCAGCTGAAGCAGGTGGAGTCCATGGTTGGCTGGCTCTGAGGCAGAACTTGGTATGGTGGAAAGGCTGTGGCAGGGGAAAGCTACCTATGTTGTGGCACCCTGGGTTCAGACAGTGAAGGCAGGAATCAGGGAGGGAAACACACCATCCAGGTCATACCCCTCATGGCCTGCTCCTTCCAGCCAGGCCCCAACTCCTAATAGCAAGTCAGCTATGAACTCCTCCGTGGACTAATCCATCAATGAATACAACACCCAAAACATCCGATCACCTTTCAAACATGAGGTTTCAGGAGGTCGCCCCAGATCTAAACCATAACAGGGGCTGTTGACGGTCTCCCAAGCCCTGAAGAGCTAAGCACTTTGTTTCACTGTTTTGGGTTGTTTGTTTTATCGGGGAGTGAAGACATTAGCTGAAGTGTGGCCTACACATTCCTTCTGTCCAGAGTGAGCGCACACTCTCTTCTCCATGCTGATTTTCAATGCTCCATCTTTGGTTCCTCAGTTCCCTCCTGCATTTCAGACCCAGATCTGTGTGTGTTAGCGTCTCTACTGGGCTATCCTTTAGGCATCCTGTAAACAATCTAGTATGTTTTAGCATGTTGGAATTCTTCATTTCAGTTTCTTTCTGTTCCAGAATTCCTCTTTAGTTCTCTATCGTAATTTGTACTTCTCTATCTTTTTTTTTTTATCTGTTCCCTTATGAAGACCATATTTTCCATTAATTCTTCAAGGATAGTTTTCTTTAAGTCTTAAAAACATACTTTATAAAAGCTATGCAAGCTTGGTTTCTACTAAATGCTTTTTCTCACCTCTCGATAATGAGTCACATTTTCTTGTTTCTTTGTGTGTTTGATAATTGTTATGTATTTGATATCATGGATGATACATTATAGATTGGATGGATGATACATCTAGATACTGATCTCATTGAGCAGGCAAGTGAAGGGCCTGGAAGCAGTTGATTTTTGTTCTAGTAGATGGTTTGTCTTGATATTTGTTACTGGTGACAGTAGATATGTGGAGAGTAGGTACCTTCTGATTTCTCTAACTTGATGAGAATCAAGCTCCAAACTACAAATCCCATTGAGCTTTGGCTTTAAACATTGTTAGGGAAGGTCCTTAGTCACTTTTACTCGATGGTGCGATCTTATTAACTGACGATTCATTATGGGGCTACAGCCAGGTGCCCATGAAGTCTCTCGACACTGATTGGTGAGAGCTTCCAGGCCCCCTGTGCAGCGTGGAATCTTAGTGTGGTCATATCTTGGCCTCTTGGCAAGCATGGCCTTCCTGACTCTCCTTGCCAGGGGTCTTTTCTTCTCAAGGGCCTGCCCTGTAGCTTCTAGGTGCATCAGCAAGCCCTTGCTCTGGCCTCTGGCCCTTCAGTTCTGGGGTACCACTGTGTCCTATTCGATCCCGGCTTCCTGCGCTGCAACTGGGAAGCTGTCCCCAAGTCCAGATCCTTGCCTTAACTTTGTCTTCTCCTGAGGGCTGCAGCCTTGCCCTGTCTGTGGCACAGTCTGACCCTATAGCTTCTGTCCACTTTCATGACCGTTTATAGCAGAGGGACCAGTCCAGTCCCAACTATTGGGCCGTGACCAGAAGTGAGAGATTCACTATCTGACCCTAGACTTCCTCTCCCACACTCTTCCTTTGGACCCTTACTAGGACCCACCTGTTGATCCAAAGCTAAGAATTGAGGGCCATCTTTGCTGCCACCTTTCCTGGTTGCCCTTGTCGGTGATTCATCAGCAAAAGTGACTTGATGTCCACCAGCACACTGGGGTCCGCCCCTGCTGTCTCCCTGAGTCCACTCCAGCAGCTCCCTGGATGCCCACCTACCTCTGCTCTGCCCTGCTCTTATCTGTCTTCCACCCAGCAGAAGTGAGCTTTTCCAGACTATCCCTGACCCTGGTGCTGTTTGGAACAGACCCTGCAGCTAATGTTTTATCTGGCAAAATTCGTGAGATCTGCCCCTCCCAGTTCCAGCCCCCACCAGTTGTCCCTCGTGCATAATCCTGTCACAAGGGTGTTGTCACATGGTCTGCAGCATCTCCGTGGTGGCAGGTTACTGTGGTCCTGGGGTGCCTGGGATGTCCTCCCCTAGAAATCCTGTCCAACATTCCTTCAAGCCTTAGCTCACTGTCACCTCCTCTGGGTGGTCCCCCAGGCCTGAGAAGGCTACTTCCTCCACCTGCAAAACCCAAACCCAGGCTTCCTCCATCATGACCACTCTGAGCGCCTTCAAAGCGGAAGTGGGACAGCTTCACCCTGTCTTCCCAGAGCCTGGTCACCAGGATATAACTCCCACTGTTCGATGAAGGCATTGTGCACTGTGACACTGGGGACTGCCCGGCAGCACTGCAATTCCACAGAAGGAAAGAATGTTTCCATGGGTGACCACCATTTGTGGCAATTCTGGGACTTCAGCTAGTCTCTCCCAGAGAAGTGACAATGAGGATGTCTTGTGGTACCAGTGGACACACCTAGGATGGGGACACATGTGCTGCCAGGGCTGAGTGTGCAAGGCTTCCTGGACAGTGCCTCTGGGGCGGGCTGCAGCCTCCTGATGAGCCTGGGCTTGCCAGGAAGCCTGGTACGGCTCTGCTGCTCTTTCTTCCTGCTGCCCAACTTCACACCTCACCACTTGTCACTCCTCTGAGGTCCTCTGTTTTCCATGGGAACTCCAGGAGACAGCTCTACATCCCAGGCATCAGCTCTGGCCTCAAGCACATTGCTGGATTCCCCAAGCCAAGGACATTTCTCCCTCTCACCACCAACTTCCCACCCCTAGCAGTCTGCATTCCTGAGTCAGATGCTGACTGAGGGAGGGCATGCCCTGTGTCCTGCAGGGTAGGGGGTTCCCTCCTCCTAGCAGAGAGTGCTGGGGCTGAGTCCTTTAGCAGTGCTGGGCAGAGTCTTTCTGATGGCTCTGGTCTGGCCTCTCATTCCAACATCAACTCAAGTAACGGGTGGCGGTGGGGGTTTGGGGGGATGGAAAGCATCTGAGAGTGAAAAAGAAGGAAGGAGATGAGGTTTGTGGCCCAGAAAGAAGACCCCAGGGTGGCCTGGGAGTCACAAGGCAGAAGACAGGAGGCCAGAGACCAGCTCCCTGCAGCCCCACATTGATGACCAGAGTGTGTGTCCACAGTTGCACTGCCTGTTTGTGGAGGCCAAGTGAGCAGATCCCCAGGGGAGAAACCTCGTCAGATCACAAAAAATGTCAGCCTTAGTGACTCATGTGTATTTGTCCCAGAACACCCCGGTAGGCCTTTGAGATCAGCTCGGCCATCTCTGAATGACATTTCAATGCTGTGAGCAGGTTCCTGGGTCCCAGCCACAAAGAGGCTGAGTTCAAGCTTGACCTTCAGGAAAGGAGCCACATTTGGAAAGTGATTCAGTCCACTGCTTCTTCTCAGCTCCTTGGCTCTGTCTCCAGCAAAGAATGGCTGCTCCAGGCATGATGAGCTGCCTGGAGGATGAAGGTAGTGATGTTTTTGTTGTTGCTATGGTGATGGTGTGGTGGTGATGGTGAGCCTAGGGGTTGTTTTCAACGGTGAGGGTCACGGGGAAGGTGTGGCAGTGTTGGGGTTGTGCTAGTGATAGATGTAGGAGAGAAGCCATGCTGGTGGTGGTGCTAGTATGCCTAGACTTTGGTGGTAGTGGTCGTGATGGGACCTTGAGGGCGGAGAGGTGGTGGGACAGTAATAAAGAGACTGATGACGGGGATGGTGGTGTGCGTTGATACCATGGTCATCGGGTACTGACAGTGGGACATGGATGGTGGGGTACTGGTTGTAGTGGCGAATGGCGGAATGTTGATGAAGGAGATGATAGTGGTTGAAGATTAGTGGTGGTGGTGGTGGTGATGGTGAAGTGTGGTTGTGGGGACAGATGTGGATGGTGGTGGCGGCCGCTCAGGTGGTGGTAACACCTCACCTTTTGAACCTGAGCTCAGAGCAGCAAGGAAAGGCTGGAGATAGAGGCGCTAATAGCAAGTCCCTCTTCTGATTTTATTGTCTGGTGCGCTGGGCGCCTTGCTTTCTCGGGGCTCGATTCCTCACCTCTGAGGAAAGCTGCTGTCTCTCCTCCTGGACATCCTGGTGATCCGAGTGATCGGGCTTGATAAAGCGGTGATCAGTCTCGGAAGCTGCAGGTCTTGGAGGCTGGCTGGCAGCGGCTACTCTTGTGGACTTGGCATCTGGACTTTCTGAGGGGTGGCATTAGCTTCCCTTCTGAGGAACCTTGGGCCACTTCCCTTCCTCTCTGTGTGGTTTGGAAGGAGCTGGCAACCCCAGGGCTTTCTTCCTTGGTCACAGGGATGGGCATGTGACATGGGCCTGGGCAGCAGAGTTCTCCTAAGGACTTTGCTACTGGGCCAGCAGAGGGAGCTGTCACTTGGCTCAAGAGTTCACAGCAGCCTGAGGTTGCCAGCTGTCACTTCCCTTAACCTAGACAGGTACCTTCTGCAACGGAAGATCCAAGGGCAACTCACCAAGAGAAGACAGAGAAGAACTGACAGAACATACGGAGAAAGGGGAAGACGAAGGGCAAGTGGTGGTGGCTGAGAAACCCCCAGGGGCTTTGCACAAGCACCTGGATCCCTCTGTGCCTGAAGATGGCACAATCCACTCTCAGATTTCCAAGGGCCATATCATAACTTTGGGGAGCAAATCTGGCTTCTGCATTTCACAAGCCAGAGTTCTTGCCCACACCTCAAACCTCTTGAGCTCCTAGAGTCCTAGAACCTTCCTAAGAAAGCAGATTAGTGACAAGGCTGACTTCCAAGTTTAGGGGCAAAATGCTCTTCTTTTGCCAGACCCAAACTTGGCTCCTTTGTCCCCTCCTTCCAGGGGATAGGTTGGGACTGACCCAACACCCATGCCTAATGTCAGGGTCCAGAAGTTAAGGTCAGCTGTTCTCTGCTGGCCCCCGGTAGTCCCTTTAGTGTGAAACATTTTGTGGTAAGCAGTGTATAACACAATGGAGGCATCCATAAATCCAATGATGTCTCATTCTAAAGAATACAAGTAACACACCAGAGCAAAAGGAGAAAAAAAGCTAAAAAGTCACCTTCCAGCCACCTCTGCATCTAGAGAGACCCGGAAGACCCCCGCAGACCCTCTTCCCCTGAGTGCTTCTGCCCAGTGAGACAGTGACCCACAACTCCCGGGCTGGTTGTACCCAGGAACCTGCACATCTGGAGTCTTTGGTATCTGAACATAGCTCCTGTAGGAGCGTGTCCTGCAAGCCTAGCTGTTCTGGGCCCAGTAATGCCGATGTACGCTGTTGTCAACTTTTTGTGACTAAACGTCATTGCTGCAGACCTTACTTGTTCAGGTCCCCACATGTCTGATCCTTCCTGTGACATGAACCCTGCAGAGGGGGAGCGTTGAGTCCCAGGTGATGCGTGAGCGTAAGGGATCTCCTGCGTTCTGTGCTCCCTGAGCTGTCGAGTCCTTCAGAACAGCAGGGTGGTGATGAGTTCCACATTCCTGACAATGCTGAGTTTCATTCATTTGAAAGAAATTGGGAAGGTGAGGAAGAGCTAGACAAGCAGGTAGCGTAGAGAGTGGTGGCTTCATGAGGGCCAGCCTTTCCAGGCTCCCTGGGACTTTTCTGGTTTGCTCTATCCCTGAAAGTCTCCTGTCATAGGAATCTCCTTTGCATGCACACAACAGGACAGTTACCTGGTCACCCTCTTCTACCTTCTGAGAGACCCATCTTCCAGGCATGGTGGCACTGCGGGTATGTCCTGTGCCTGTCTCTGGGACAGTGGGTGCCAGGTTGCCTCCTACGCTGGCTTCTGGGAAAGCATGTGCTGAGAAGTGGCCAGGCCAAGTGCCCACAGGCGTAGCCTCTGGTGACCACAGGCTGGCGGTGCACACTGGCCCCGCTTGCTGGAGTCTGGGAGCTCGAGAGAGGCTATGTCCACTCTCAGGAGCAGGCTCTGCCCTGCTCCACATGCGAAGGCCACAGAAAGGCTGTAAACCTGCTGTGAGATGCTGGAGACCCCCACCCCCACCCCTACAGGGGAGGAAACTGAGGCATAGGGGAGTGGGCGGAGGCTGTGCCCCAAGTCACGTAGCTCTTGGAGGCTGAGCTGGGGCTAGAATCTGGGTCGCCCAGCTTGAAATGGGCCACTCCCTCTGCTCTGTGCGCATGGACAGTGTGTGCTGCTTTAGCAAAGCCAGCCAGGACAGGATTTTGGGGTGAGTACCACCACCTCTTGTGGCCACACAGCCTGTGGCTTCTCGCTGAAAGCCAGGGTGTCTGAGGTCCTGAGAGCCAGAGCCCAAGGTGCAGGTTGGCTCAGGGACAGGCGTGGCCGTCCTGGCTCCAGGGAGGGGGAATGAGTTCTGTGGCCTCTCTCCTCTGTCCATCTCCGTTTTGTCCCTGAAGCTCAAAGACAAGAACAAGAGCCAGAAGAGCCACACCCAGCCACTAGGAGAGAGACTGGGACTGTGATTCAGGGATTAGGGGGTCCCTGTCCCAGTACCATGGCTCCCAAGTGCCAGTCTCCTGGGCAGGATCTGGATATTACCCAGGTGTCACAGCCTACCTTGCTGCTGTCCCTACCACATTTTCAATTTTTTTTTGGCCTGCTCAGCCCACCCTGAGGGCAAGGCAGTCACGGCATGTGGTGCCTGGGGATTGAACAGCAATCCCCTGAGCCTGCCTAAGCTTGCCTAAGCAGACACTTTGGACCACTGAGCTATCTCGCCGGCCCCAACATTTTCAATTTTTAAATGGCTCTGTGGAGGGGCAGTTGACATACAGTAAATGGCCCACATTGAAAGTGTACAATTTAATATTTTAATATACACATGCACACATAAAAATATTATCACCACCCAGAATAATTCTCTGAGCTTCTCGAGCCCTCCCACACTCTCCTGGTCCTCAGGCAAATGCTGATTCCGTTGCCATCACTGGATTGCTTGCATTTTCTAGACTTGCATGTAAATAGGAGCACACGGTATTGGTTTTTCCTTGCTGGGCTTCTTTTGCTTCATATCACTGTCTCCGGGCTCATCTGTGCTGTGCAACACAGCTTTCAAATCGCTCAGAACCTGGGCTTCCATCTCTCCTGGGCGTGCACCAGCATGAAATGATGCGGTCACAGCTTCCAGGGGTTTGCATCAAGATTGTTCCAAATGGAAGGACTAGTTGGAGCGAGCTGGCATCTCTCGACTAGGGCTCGGTCTCGCTTCTCATTTATTTCATTTTCCTTAGCTAGGTTTGATCTTGTACATCTTTCTGTCAGACTTGTCGAGTTATCTACGGATTAAGTTGTTATCTATGGGTTTCACATTTTTTATTCTGTTATATATGATTTTATTTCTTTTTTTTAAATTTTATTTATGTGTGTGTGTGTGTGTGTGTGTGTGTGGCCAGCTCAGCCCACCAGGGGGCGGGGCTGGCTGGCATGTGGT